ATAAAAATTGACCAGTAGGAATTAACCAATAGGGATTAGTCAATAATTCTTTTTGGATATTGGATGAATACCCTAACATGGTATCATGTTATCATGGCAGTAACCATAAGCTCGGTTTTCTAAATGATACAGTACACACACAGGCACACAGACAGAGAATAGATCACATTTGAAACTAAATATACACCATTCGTGATCAATATATTGGGAATTCAAGTAAATAGAAGTCAGTCATTCAGTCAGTCAGTAAGTTACAACGTAGAATTTCGTACGTACATACATAAGTTCAGGTTACCATACCACATGAGCACAGAGATGTTACTGTCAGTTCAAATCCCATAATGGTAGGGAAAATAGAAGTATTATTCAAGAAGTATAATTGAGTGAGATAAATTTAAAAATTTAAAAACAGAAAGACAGAAAAGATGAGGGATTCAGAAGATTGCATTTTCAGAGACCACAGAGAGTGGATACATCTGCCCTAATCGAAATGGTTTTGAGCCATGTCATTCAAGGTCTCTAACCATTGGTGACTTTCGTCTCGCGAACCCCAACCAGGTAGCCTACATCTACCAACATGACTCAGTCCACTTGTCAATGACTTCATGGATTTGTGCCATGTTTTGGTTTGGCCGCCCCTAACTTTCTTCCAACCTACTCCTACACCACAAAACATAGGTCGTCGAGGCAGTCGGTGGTTGGGCATACGTAACACATGTCCCAACCACTTCAACTGATGAAGTTTCACCACTTCATCTATTGATCTGCCATCCTTACCTAGTACTCGTTTCCTAACGACAGCAGTGCTTACTTGGTTGTCCCAGGATAAATAAGCAATGCTTCGAAGACATCTATAATCAAATACTATTAACCTACAAATATCCTAAACTCTAACTGGCCATGTTTCACAGCCATAAAGTAAGATGTAGCAATCTGTTGCGCAGTACACTCGTCCTTTAGTTAGCAAACAAATATCTCGCCTACGCCATTAGTGATGTTCGTATGTTTAGGATCGATGTGCAAATACATTTTATTTTCCCCAGGTATACGTAAAACTGTCAATGACAGAATTCCATACGACTGTCAAATCAAACATCAGATTTTATGTAACCTTTTCCTAAACAATGCTAGTGTTAAGGAAATGATATCGGGTAAGACTCAGATCAAATGACGAACTTGTAAATCTTCATCAGTCGACTTGTTCGGCATATATTTATGTATACATAACGTATGCCTAACCATCGACTGACTTCCTCCATGAGTAATTTTTTGTTATGTAGACTGGAAGAAAGTTATTGGACGGCCAAATCACTGACAACTGAACTGAGTCATGTTAGTAGGTGTAGATATTTGTTCACTCTTCTCCCTCAGGGTTTTCAATAACTCTTTATGAATATCTACTACTGACCAGTCCCATATCAGAATGAAACAGCTATCCACTACTACTTCCACGTCTTCAACGGTGGTCTAACATTCAACAGTTCATTCTCTCAACGAAACTCAACTACCTTTATATCTACCAACCTACATTGAACATCGTTTTCAATTGACACTACACACACCTAGAACAATCATGTACTAGAGTGTGTATGTACTCTTACATACATATCAACTAGTTAAATGAGTTTGACAAAATATAATTTTATTTCAATTATCACATGACAATTGTTTTTTTTTTTAGAAAAATAGAAATTGAACAAAACATTTAACTTTTACAATAAATGATGGTATTTCTAACCAGTAAGTACACCATCGTAGTAGTAATGAGTAATTTTTGACAGAAAAAACGAAGCAATTACCATTTTGAAATTTAGCTTAACAAATAAAATTAATTTTACCAGGGTTAGTTAGTCAGACAGACAGATAGTGGCTAACAAATGGAGCACAGGCTGACTATTTTATCCTCCTATTGTAGTGAAGGAGAACACAGGTGGGGCAACCGAATTGTATTTAACGAAAATTACAGAGTTACTCAGTAAAATCGCAAAAACCATATCGTAAATCGTTAATTTGCAAAATATCAGTTCATCATATCGAACTGGACTGTTCCTGTTGCAAAACATCAACAATCCATTGTCACTATTCATACGTTTCATACAAATTCCATTGTGTTCTAACTCTTCCTTTCTTGATCTTGCCCCATCTTCTGCTGCCAGACATTACGTTGACACTCACGTCATATACTACTTATAAGTAGCTCATACCACACTATTAAACGACTTGTCTTAGGTTGGATGTGTTAACTATCATCACTCTATGCTTGTAATGTGTGTCACTTAATAGTAATATCAATGCATTCCGTACACAGGATGTATATTAGTTGAATTAAAAAGATTTGAAACTAAATGAATACAGTTTATTTTTGCTAGTTGTTACGTATGCACGTAAACATGTCAATTAGATGTGCTTGAAACTATTAGGAGTTCATCTGAGTCGGTAAAACCGGAGCGAGGATTGAGGATCCGGTGACACGACAGGCTACTCTAATCCGAGTGTCCCGAAACCCCCAGTGAGTTAAAGAAGAAGTCAGTTAGTCAGTCAGTTGCAACGTAGAACTTCGTATGTATGTACATAAGTTCAGGTTGCCATACCAACACATTAGCACAGAGAGGCAAATGTCCCATAGTGATAGAGATGGTAGAGGTATTAATGGTAATGAAGAAGAATAGGGTTTGAAGATATTATTCAAGAAGTATAATTCAGTGAGATAAGTTCACAAAGAGAAAGATAGAGGTGCTGACGAATCCAGAAGATTAGGATTTGAGAGAGCTCAACTAATGGATGCACTTGCGCCATTGCAAACAATTCTCAGCCATGTCATTCAAGGTCGCTAACCA